TCTCTCTCTCTCTCTCTCTCTCTCTCTCTCTCTCTCTCTCTCTCTCTCTCTCTCTCTCTCTCTCTCTCTCTCTCTCTCTCTCTCTCTCTCAAAGACACACACACACACACACACACACTGTGACACACACACACAAACCCACCCACCCACAAACCTCCGGATGAGTCAGTGAAAGTCCGGCAAAACAGTCTGGCACAGTCATGCTTTTCTTTGAGTGTGTAGCAAATATGACAACACACTCTGGACACGTTTTCCAGCAGATGATACTCCCCACCAACAGATGGAGTCTCCCTTGGGGTATTTGCGCAATTTAGTGGTGATTGCTCTTATCAACACCGCTAGCACCCACCCCAGAAAAAAACGAAAAAACAACAACAACAACACACCCTCATTATGACTACATGAGACCGAAAGGATAGCTTGTATACATGGATAATCCGGGTGCATTGTGTGCAGGCGGGTGCATTGTGTGCAGGAAGACAGCAGTATGGCGGCTTGTACCCAAAGTGGGGCCAGGAAAGACAAATAACTTGAAATAAGCCAACTGATGCTTTTTTTTTCTTCTTCTGTTTTTTTTTTTTTAAAGCACAACTGAGACTTCTAGCAAACTGGAAAACAAACAAACAAACAAAAAAATCCGGAGTTCGAGTTCCACTTTCTGCAGCCAAAACGCTTATCAGCGATTTCAGTTCTCTCATATTTTCTTGACTCACTTTTCTGCAGGGCGCAGTCTTTTTTGCGGCAGCAAACTGAAACGACACTTTCTGAGTCTGAGCCCAGACTGAGGGCATACTCACACTACGACCTTTTTTTTACGTATTTCTGCACGGAATTGTGGCCTGATACATCCAGGTATGGCTGTAAACACGGTCAGATACATTTGAGATACTGCTAGTGTGAGTACGCCCCGAGTCTCGCTTCACTATCCTACAAAATGCTTATTTTTTTAAGGAAAACGTTTTTCCACAGTTCTAATCACCATCTCTACACGACTATAGAGGAAGGATGCGGACACATTTGTAGGAAATATAGGGCCTTGCCACACCACTGTCGAACGAAAAACGAATGAATGCATCTTCCTCAGAAAGTGGTCAGATGCACCCGTTGCTTTCATAGTAACGGATGCATCTTGCCATTCTTTGCGGGAAGATGATGCAGTCGTACTTTTTTAGTTTGGACAGTGGGTGTGGCGAGGCCCAGAGTCCTTCAGATTGTAGGAATACCCCTACAGGCAATCAGATTCCTTCGAAGCAGATATATGCCCTTGCCATTACTAAATAAATTTACTTTTTCTTTTGCTAATTTTTTAACAGGCAGATTACCATTAATATATATAAAAGAGAGAACTTTTTAATGGCTTGTATTCTCCTAAACTTTGTAAGAAGCTCGAGAGATTTCCTAGGAACTGTAGCACCACTTGTACCAATGGCAAGGGCAATCCCTTTCCTTTAAAGGAATCGGATTGGCTGAAAGCCTTAAACACAATTTCTTTATTGTTTTTTGGGTAAATGGCTTGAAACTCTAGGACTCTTTTCAATAGGTTGGGGGTGTGGCCAACCCCAAACGAGGTTGGGGTCGGCCTTAGCCCACTGGGTAGAAGATCTCATTGGGTGGAGCCCTCCTTCAATCACAGAGTATGTGGAGGGTGTCAGGATCACTGCTGACAGAAGTCTGAGTTTATTCCAAAAAAATGTGGCGGTTACTTTGTTCAGTGTTTTTGCAACCACCACCATCAGATCATTTGTGATCTGATGGCTGGGAAGCACTCTGCCGTGATTTCAGGTGGGAGGTCTCTGTTTCTTTTTTTTTTTTTTTGCCTTTCTCCTGTTTTCTCAGCCCAGAAATTCTCCTGTTTTCTCAGCCCAGAAATTCGTCACGTCAAAAAAAAGGAAAAAAAGGGAAAAAAAAATCAATCAATCAATAACCAATCAATCAATTAATCAATAACCAATGAATCAATAACCAATTAAACAATTAATCAGTATTCGTCAATCAATCAATCAAAATCAATCAATCTATCAATCGTTTAATCAATCGTTTAATCAATCGGTTAATTAATCAATCGTTTAATTAAGCAATCGTTTAATCAATCAATGAACGGATAATCCATCCATCCATCCATCCGTCCGTCCATCCATCCATTATTCAATCAATCAATCAATCAATGGCGAAATTAACTGTCAAGAACTGTTTAATCAATCAATCAACGGGTAATCATCCATCCATTATTCACTCAATCAATTAATCAATCAATAACCAATCAATCAGTAATCAATCAGTCAATTATCAATCGGTCAATAATCAATCAGTCAGTCGCAAAACTAACTTTCAAGAACCTTGATCACCCAATCATCGAAACAATCAACCAGTCGATCATTTAAACAGTCAGTCGATTTAAATTTCTATTAA